ATCTTCTTCCTTCTCTCTTCTTCCTTCTATCTTCTTCCTTCTTTCTTCTTCCTTCTATCTTCTTCCTTCTATCTTCTTCCTTCTATCTTCTTCCTTCTCTCTTCTATCTTCCATCTTCTATCTTCTCCGGAGGGTGAACTGCGCTCGTCGTCTGCTTCCCGGTGACTGCCCCAGTTCTCCTACACTGGGTCAGTGTTCTCCCGTGTGAGTGCTCCTATTGGTCGGTGCCGCCCTCCATCGGGTCAGCTCTCCTCGTAATCCTGGGGGGGGGTGCCGTAGTCCTAATGGTATTCTTGCTATAAGCCTCTATGAGGCAGTCAGTGCTCCGGCCGTAGTTCTCCTGTTTATCCTAGGGCCAAGGAGGCAGTTAGCGCGCCTCTGTTCTCCTATTTATCCTAGGGCTTATTACCCTATGAGGCAGTCAGCATGCCTTGGTTCTCCTCCAGTGCTCCGAGGCTATAAGCCTATGAGGCAGTTTAGCACGCCTTGGTTCTCCTACAGTGCTCCGAGGCTATAAGCCTATGAGGCAGTTTAGCGCGCCTCTGTTCTCCTATAGTGCTCCGAGGCTATAAGCCTATGAGGCAGTCAGCATGCTTGGTTCTCCTGAGTGCTCCTATAGGCAAGGCAGGTCGCCTGGTTCTCCTGAGTGCTCCTATAGGCAAGGCAGGTCGCCTGGTTCTCCTGAGTGCTCCTATAGGCAAGGCAGGTCGCCTGGTTCTCCTGAGGACTCCTGGGTTCTCCTAGGGGCTGCTGCCCCGGCGCGTTCTGCTTTCTACGGCGTTTCGGCTGCCTTATATACGCCCCGGTTGCTCCCTGGTCACGTGCTTTTCCCCCATTCCCCTAGTACTTTAAGCAGGAGTATTCCAGCTGGCATTACTTATTTACTGGTTTGTACCGGTCAGTTCTGCTTCTGCTGGCCGTTTGTTTACACACCGTGCCGCATTTAGGCTGATTACGTCAGCTGCCTGGCCGAGTAATTTTCTCTTGATATTCTATTCTACTTATTGTTTTATTTATCTACTCGTTATCCTTTTAACCTGTATTTTATTATAGCTTGACGTTTCCTTTATTTAATTGTGCATATTGCCTTCTTAAGTGGAATTCGGGTGTCACCTGGTCTTCCGATCCAGGTTTTTAGTCATTCCAAAATGGCCGCGCCCTGTCGTGTTGTTTGTGTTTGAAATAGAGTGTTCGGTGTAACCGAAATCTCTACAGTACAATGGCGGCGCCCACACGGGATTTTGATGGCCGTAAAGAAAGCTGTAAAGAGCTGGAATCTTGTTTTGAGTGTGTTGCTGCCATGCTGAAAGTTACACGCCAGCATAATCTGGTAAACTATTCATATAGCGCATTAAATAATGTTAGAACTTTTAAAATTAACCCGCACTCGGTCAATGCTGGCACTACAGGGGCAGATCCAGGATTTTTGAAAAGGCGGTGTCCAGGAAGAAATAAAAATGGCAGTGGCTACGGGTACGGTAGCCGTATCTTAATGTCTCGAGGCTACGGGTACGGGAGTCCATTCGCTTTCATAATTAACGAGACAAAGATGGCGTCGGTGGCGCCAGATTTCGAAATAACACCTTAGGAAATAAATTCACGATTTGAGAGTTTAGATGAGCTAGAAGTTAAACCCTAACCCTAAACCTAAAACCTAACCATAACCCTAAACACTAACCATAACCCTAAACCTAACCCTAACCCTAACGCCAAAAATGGGCTTCAACGACCGACGGCTACCGTACCCGTAGCCATAGATACAATAGTCAATAATGTAACCCAAACCCAAGAGGATAGGACCCCCTATCCTCTTGGGTTTGGGTTACATTATTGTATCTAATGTAGCCACTTCGAATAAAAATTATAAAGCCTAAATTAAACTTTTAAAGGGCACTTTTTTCCTGCTTACTTTTTCTGGTGTTTTAACAAGCTGCCGAAGGCCACTTAGGGGGGGGGGTTGGGGGACCTCCCCATGATTTTTTTTTAAAAATTGGTGCATTCTGAGAGCATCTATGATCTGAGCAGTAATTTTGATGTCTAGAATGCAAAAATTTATCAATATCAGATCCGGTCCCCCGGACGCTAGATACAATGATGTTAATAATAGTTTAAGATACTAAAAGTATCTCTGCATCTGACCCACAGTGCAATGGCAGACGTCCCTGCTGGCGGGTGCGGAGACTCCGATAGCGACTACGAGGTAGACGAGGAGGCCTACGTCCTGCTGGAACTCTCCGGAATCATCGACAGTGACTACCTGAAGAAGTGCGAGCCCAAGTGCAAGGTCCTCGGCCTTGATCGTGCGAAGCCCATCGTGCAGGTCGGACGACACGTGTTTGCAGGGAAATTCGAGGATACGGTCGGTACGGCAGTGTTCTTCTCCGAAGAGCAGCAGGGTGGTGCGAATACAGCCAAGCAGCTGTCGTACTTCACGCACACGTCCAAGAAGCTGTGCGTGCAGCGTGCTTTCCTGAGCGAGAAAGCAGAACCGGCTGCCGCTGCGGCGACGAGTAGTGCACAGATAAACGGTTCTACAGAAGACGCTAACAACATGGAAGTAGATCAAGACCAATCGTCATCTAAAGAGTAACAGACAACGTGCTGTGCAGGATCACACGGGAAGTGCTGGAACTGTTGATGCAGAACACAGACAAATCAAAACAATATCAGACCTATAATTGTGTCATAAAGGAAAACGTTACAGAATTGAGTTTAGGTTGTTGGAGATTTAGGGAATTGTTTTTAGAAATTTTAGGGGATTTCCTAATCTTGAGCATCTTGGGACTGCTTATAATATTTCCGTAGAGCACAACTATTTAATAATTAGATGCTCTCATGAGTAGATGTAACCTTCTATAACTACAGTAGCCAGTACCCGAGATTGTGTAAACTGTGTCAATTCCTGGGACAATTACTGTTGAATTCCATGCACAATCAGTCATGAGGAGAGAAAGTCCAGATCCTCTCTTCATGCTGCACGGCAGCAATGCACCAATCTCCGCTGTACACTTCTGGAATCCTGGAGAGGGCAGCAAGTGGAAGCTGCTGTCAGGTACAGTATGCACACACAGGACGTGTCAAATAGACTTGCACCAATATTTGCTTCATTTGTGTAGATGTGTTATAAATTTCCTTGCTTTTTACGAGGGGTTTGAGAACAGTCACCGTTCGTAAGGTGTATATGTGAGGTGATAGTCAATGTAAGTAGGCTTTAAATGTGACGCTTGTCTGCATATATGCTTCCATCTATTTGTCCTACAAGTCACGGTCATAGTGTTTTGCATATACATCCGTAGGTACAGCGCAGGGAAAGATTCATATATGGGATGTGGAGTCACGGCGGTCTGATGTCATTCTGTCTACTGCTCATGGAAAGGGAATCCTGTGGTTAGAGGGACTAGACTCCAACAGCTTCCTTAGTCAGTGTCGAGATGGAGAACTTTCTAAGTGGACACTGGAGGCAGCTGGCTGGCAGTCTAAATGTAAAATTTTGTTTTCAGTTTTTTTTTTGGCTTTGCATTGCAAAATCTCTTAATCGGCCTTACAGGTGGCAACCAGATGCTAGTTCGTTTTTCATAAATAGTTTCCCATAGAGAACTAATAATAACAACAATTTGTTAAATGAGGATTGCTAATGCAAGGAGTAATAGTCTATTTGAATGATTGAATATTGGGAACCAAAGTGGAGTTTTTAACTGCTGCATGGCCAACAGTCTTGTGGCTTGCACCTGACAAGCATTTGCTTCGATCACTCACTCACTCACTCACTCACTCACTCACTCACTGCGGCTACCCTCTCTCAATTCTCAACGGCATAATTAGCATAATTTCCACTAAACTCATTCTCTCTCCGTCATATTGCCTCTCTCACTCTGCACTCGCGCGGGTCTCAGAATTTCTCTCTGCATTCATCATCATTCACAAACAAGCTATCATGCAACTACCATTCACAACCCCCCCCCCCCCCTTCTAACCCGCCCAACCACAATGCACCTCGCACAAAGAATACAACAACGAAGAATTAAAACGCGAATGGAAATTCCCGGCAAGCTTTCGCTAAATCGGTGTGATCGGCGGCGCTCTGAGCTGGACTCCTACTGTTTTACAACAGTAGAGGGCGTCCGTAGGCAGCATGTCTGAGGCTCTGCGATGCCTGATTCAGCATGGCACACAAATTAATTAAAAACACTCCGAGTTTCGGCGCATACACAACATGCACTTTATATATACATGAGTAACGCAGGTTCAAGGTTCCAGACTACACTCAAAACGTTTGCCAAGTACGTGATGCACTTTTCCAGTAAGTAATATGATCCAGCTATTATCACACGAACACAGAAGACCGGTTACCGTGGCTACGTCACTTGACAGAAAGCCGCAGATTCTCGACAAGAGCAATCTTACTTGCCATGCCTGCTGAGTATTCTAGACATCTGCAGGACATCTACCTCACGCGTATAACACAGAATACTGCACTCTAGTTCCGAATATTCTCTCAATGGATTAAGAAAAATGGCTGCTACAGACGCCAAGTAGTACACAATTGGCGGAAGCATACAGTTACGTGCCCCCTATGTGTACAGTGTACGCCTGATTACTTCAACTAATTAAGATGCTTAATTAAGGACGAGATCGCTATGAACCTTGAGAGGTAATTCGATGACATATCATCCAGGGCCGCAGCCCCTGTGAGTGGGGAGGGAGCTGCCAAGAGGCATGCTATGTTTTGAAGCAAAAAATACGCTTTGGGAATAAATGTAATGATTACCAAAATTACAATTTACAAAAATAATAACAAATTACGAAAATTTTACATGGTAAAATCGGGTCTCAAAATTTTATTCGACCGCAGCAATATGCCATTCTCTGCCGCCATGAGCAATAGCGCGAGTCGCTCGTCGTCTTCACCCAAAACAATGCTTTTCTGTCGATCATGCGCGCTTAAAAAGCCAGGGGCGTAGCCGATGGGGATGTGCATAGTAATATCCGACACACACATACAAACTCGACGCCAATAACCGGGCATATTTGCATAGCGTCGAGCAATTTACGTCTTGCTGTGCGCGCCGGCTGGAAGAAATTCAATTTCTGACGTTCCGCTACACGGCAGACCCGATGATTAGCTTTAGCAAGCACCCCACGGGGGGAGGGGGAGGTTTGTTGGATGTGATTTGGGACAGCAGTAATGTGGGATTTTGGGGGGTGGCTGGTGGCGGAGAGGAGGACGGGTGGTTGGGATTCGGGGGAGGGGGAGAAAGAGAAACTGGATGCAGGTTATTTCCTGTGCCTCGGAGAGAAGAGAGAGGGTGGGGTAAGGGAGAGGTTAAGAGGGATCCGCTGCCGTAGCCATGTTAACCTATTGCGGCCTCACCTAGCTCGAATACGTTCGATTTTTTTAAAACTCGAGGTCGTCTGCGCCTGGTAAAAATTACCGCGACGAGAGCGTCCCCGTATATGGCAGTTATCGAAGCGTATATTGGCTTGATTCCCCCATCGCTCGCAGTGAGAAATGAAATTGATGAAACCCTACGCATGCTGTGAGCCACGTCAGTTATGTTATATCTCTGGCAGAGATCAGCCGCCACCCTGGATGTCAACTACTAATAATGCCAGAATAGTTATAATCGTGTAAGCGTGTTTATATATATATATATATATATACAGCGTTCCAGCAAACGTCCAGATTTCATGGCCTGCTAAATTTCTTACCGCTAGTTAAACGGTCGATTTCATTGACTTACGCTAGGCAATTTTAACGTTGTCGTAACGAGACGGATTAAGATGCTAACTAAAGCCATGAAATTCCTCTCCTTATATTATTTCTACGCACGGTACGCGCGTCGTCAATTTTACTCGCGCACATAAAATGCAATAATACTTGCGGCCATGCGCGACTTCCATCGACAAATCGACTTAGGCGTTGTCACTAACGAACCGCTGTATGAACAGGTCTTTCTGATTCAATTTGCGATGAGCCGGTGTGTGCGGTTAGTCGGACGGGCGGTCGGACGGTCGGGTTGTAGGGTATGCTGGACGGGCGGTCGGACGGTCTGGTGGTCGGGTATGCTGGACGGGCGGTCGGACGGTCGGGTGGTCGGGTATGCTGGGCGGGCGGTCGGACGGTCGGGTGGTCGGGTATGCTGGGCGGGCGGTCGGGAATGTAGAGCGGGCGGG